ACATCTACTCAAGACCCTCATAAGCTGCAAGTCCTGGGTCTTATGTCTTTGTTTTCCTTGGTTTAAGTTGGTCCAGTGTATCTTGTTCTTATGAAGAGACAAATGGAGTAAAATGGAGAGAGAAGTAAACGTGGAGACTTACAGAAAACGGAAGTGGGTGAGAACTGCCCAAGAGAAGGACCGCTAGAGATGGTAGAAGATAAGGAATGCTAACGGACGTGGTGTCATTTGGGATCAGATAAGGACGATAGTTCATCAACATGGTGGACACAATTCAGGTCAGCGAACAGCACACGAGAGAGGTGTCAGAATGTCAGATGTTTTGTTACGTATACATTTAGCATAATTAAACAGTTGAGGGTAAGTAGTACCTGAGATGGAAAAAACTATTAACAGAAGGACAAAGAGAAGAAATTGGGATATACACCCTCGTGCGTGTGTGGAAACAGACAGACACAGGCACAAGGGAAACAAGGCAGGCGGCTAAGGGCACTGTGCGAGTCAGCAGGCCAGTCCCCAATGTGGGAACTCGATCCAAAGATGGCTTGATGCCTTCTAGGACAAGAGATGGGGAAGTGTGGACTCAGACCAAAGATGGCTTTCAAAAACAAGCATTTGCCACATCTTTAACTATAATTTATTTTTATACTAAAGATGGATTTATTCTACAATATTTGGAAGATTACATAAAAGCGTGTTTTAGTCTTAATCCCCTTTAACCTAAAACTCGCCGCTAAGTGTAGTCAGCATTTGGTCCTCCTGCTGGAAATGCGTGTGGGAAAAACTAAGGCCCGGCTACACCAGGGCTTCAATGTCCGTGAAAAGATGTCACAAGCATTTAAGCATACTCAGCCAGCTTTCTGCTTCTATTTTTTCAAAGATGGTGTTAAAACATGATGAGTGACTGCAAAACATTTTGTCCATTAAAATATAGTATAATATAATTATAAACTGGGTCAGCTAAGTTGTTCCCAAGTTTTTTTCTTTTGGTCCCAAGTTTTAAATATGATAACAAATTTAGATATTCTGGCTCCTTAATCTTAGTGTACATCTCTGAACAATTCCTTAGGAAATGTTCAAAGTAAATAAAACCATTAGCAACACACAGGGCTAGATTATGGACAGTGCCTGCCCATATGACCCATCACATGTCGTCTCATTGCTTTAATCTGCACTTCTTGGGTTAGACAGACATGAAGTCATTTGGTTTCACATGCTCATGGTTTTTAAGTCTTTAATGTATTTAATGTTTCATGTCTTTCTGTACTGCTCACTTTTCACATGAGATCGTTTCTATTTCACCCGAGTCACTCCTGGGCTGGGGTTCTTGCACAGGGGACAGCTTTCTTTGCTACATTCATCAGCGGTGGGCCGGGGCAGGAACGAGGGGCCTTGGGAAGTGGGGAACGAGGCCTCAGGCAGTGTCTTCACGGAGAGGGTCCCCTAGGGTTTGGACTACTTTTGCAGCTCAGACAGCGGAAGCCTTGCAAATCTCGTTTTCTCCACACAAAACAAGTTTTTCCTGTAGCGCCCCATTCTCCTCGGCAAGCAGCCTCTGACGCAGGCGCACTGGCTTACTTACGCTCCCCCTCCTCTCTTCCAAGGAGCCTTCCCAGCGCCCAGGGCCCATGCAGCATCAGCCACCCAGAGTGCATTTCATCCCAGCACCTCACCCCAGAGAGGGTCGAACCATGGCTTGGTTTCATGCCCCAGGGGAGCGGGCCAGACTCTCGTTCCCACAGTCTCCTATACTGCAGGGAGACTAGGGTGGCCCAACACAGCTGCTAAAGCCCTCGAGAAATGTTTTGAAAAAGACATCCGTCTCCTCTGCCTTCAAACAAACCAGAACTTAAAGACGCTAGTATGGCTTATTGTAAAGATTCTCTCAGGTAAAGCGTGCAACTAGTCTAATGATGCTATGTTTGATCAATGGTGTTTTTAAAAACTTCCTCTGAAAGTTCCCTGAGGAGCAGGTTACAGGAAAATCACAATCCTTGCACTTTAGTTGGCTCCTAAAGCAGACATCATTTTATATTCCAGGGATTATATTCGGCTTTCCCGTTCGCTTCACTGCCTAAGCTTAAGGGGGCTTCAGCCATTTTCGGAAATTCGTGCCTGGCTTGAAAACATCGAGGTGAGCACTGCCGAGGCCCGTCAGAGAGAATGCAAAATTCCAACACGGGGTTCGAAGTGCCTGAAACAGTGCTATTTTATTTTCTGAAGTTCAGAAGCCCAAGGCGTCACACCTTCCTTCTCCTTCCAAAGAAGATTTGTGGGTGCCAACGTACTGCCTGGAAGAAAAGGCTCCCAGCGAGATGAAGCTGTGTGTCAATCATTTTGCAAGCCCCGAAATGAGTGGGGGGCTGGGGAGAGGGAGTCGGCGTGTGCCCGGTTAAACTAAGGGCTCAAAGTGTGGCTCAGGGAGCAAGGCACGCCTACCCAGGGACTATAGGGGCAAGATTTTAACATGGACGACAAGCGTGGTGCACCTCATCACCTTCTCCTTATGGATACTTTTACAACGATCCAGACCATGCCAAACGGAAATGCTGGCCATCCTAAGCAAGCAACTGCATCTCCAAATGTTTGCAACCCATCCTCAGAGCAATGTCACTCACTGCTGACTACCTGAAAACAAGCCACCCCGAGTCGCTGATTAAAACTCTGGGGCAATCTTCCTCCGGAGGAAGCAAGGACAGCATGTACAAGTATTTCAACTCCATCCACTTCCCCATGAGCCTACGATGCACAGTTGTAGGCATGGCACGTTCTAACAGCACCCAGCCAGGCAAAGGAGTAATGACGACGTTGAGATTAGCCTAGTCACTTGTCCTTGCTTCTGTACCGTCACAGGCACTGTCTACACACGAGATGTTTGTACTTTGACAGTCAGGGTGACTACAGAGACAGTTCACGGTCCCTTGCGGGTACGGGAGGGGAGGTTGGGGAGAAGTGGGGAACTAACACTAAGTACAAGATTGAAGAAAATGCTCTAAACTGATGGTTGTACAACTTTTCTTGATGTGACTGAACTACTGAATTATGTGATACGTGAATTATATGCCAATAAAACTGCTGGGCAAAACCCAACAAAACTAAACTGAAAAAAGGAATCCCCCAAATGGAAAAATAAATAAATAAAGTTACCTGGAAAGCTATGTTAAGACAGATTTGCGCAAAACCTACATTTCTACAGGATATTTAACCGTATTTCTATAGGTTTACTGTTAGCTTCAACCAGCTAGATTGCTCGCTTCCTTCCTAAGAATCTGGAGCAACAATGCAGACAGACTTGCATGCCAATTGCTAGTCTCCAAGAAAAGAGGTACCGGGAGAGACACCTGACTGAACTGATGGTCTGTTCATAAAGGTGGGATGTATTAAACGGGCTTCAAAAACTGTGTGAAAATATCCTGTTATTTCTCAATTCCATTTTCCTACAAACTTTTGGAAGCCCCTCATACAGGAACACCATAAAGTTAACACCTCCCTTCCCTTCCTAGTTCCCCATCTGACCATCTTCAAATGGGTCCGCCCACCTGAGAACTTCTAAGTGCTCTGAAGGATTTTTAAGGCCCAAAGTCTGAGGGTGTCCCAAGTGGCTACTGGTGCAGGAGAGGCTGCAGCTCTCCTAACGCTTCTGGGTTCTTTACTGTATATACGCATGTATAAGCCGAGGTTTTCCAGCACTTTTTTAATGCAATTTTTGTGGTAAAAAAATTTTAGGTGCCTCAGCTGATATTCGGGTTGGCTTATACTCAAGTATATACAGTACTTCGAAAGAAACACTGGCCATGGTCCCAGTCTATTCTGACTCACGGCAGCCCCAGTTTGCGCAGAGTAGAATTGCTGTCAGACCTGTCTGCCCAGATACCTCTCTGGGTGTATTAGGGGCCTAGAATCAAAGCGTAAGTTGACACTATCTTTGGCACATCTCTTTAAAACTCATGTTTTCCTTCTCTGAGGGAGAGCGATGATCTCAGCTCACTGCCATCAAGTTGATTCCAACTCATGGAGACCCTGTAAGATAGGGTAGATCTAAACATGTGGGTTTCTAAGACTGTAACTCTTTTAAGGAAATAGCCTCATCTTTCTCCCATGGGGTGGCTGGTGGGTTTGAACCACTGACCTGTGGCTAACAGTTAAATGCCGATAAATCTGTTGCTAGTTCTGAAGACAGACAGCAGGATGTTGGCATGTGAGTGAGGCTCAGTCAGGCCTTGATGAATATGTTCCAATTCTGTTTTCTTGGCCTGACTTAATTGGTTGATATTTTAAGTTATCTACAGATTGAAGAGGGTGAAACAGGCTTTGACGTTAGCTAAACTACCACCATTCTACAGTCACAAAGTAACTTCCAGACTGTCAACCTTCAATCAGACATAGCGCTACAGCAACTATCATGAGAAGACCTAAGCTGCCAGTTAAGAGCCTTAATGTGAGACAGGTTAATGACATCCCCCAATTCACAAGCCAAAGGACGATGAGGAAAAGGTACAGCCTCCCCCACCCCCATCACCCCCCCCTCACCAGCCCCTACTCAGGTTCCTACGCTACCTTGATTCTGTTTAGAGAGCTACACGTGGGACAGAGAGAACAGACAAGGGTCCCGAGTACCCAGAGTTGGAGTGAACAAAGGCATCAGAACAAAAGTCTTTAAACAGCAGCATGAGAATAGATGCTGTGTAACGTTAATTCTGACAAGGTGGCATTAGAAGTGAGGTTGAAGGTATGTTTATCATTTCACTAACAGCCTGAACGTCAATGGGTCTTAAAGTTATTTGCTTTCTATAACCCTGCAGCAGAGAAGAATCTAGACTTATTACAATCCTGTGGAATTTAAGTCAGCGATGAATTAACCAAAGCCTTTAAACAGGGAACCACTCAGTTCAGCAACGGTTGCTGGGATTTATTACCACCCAGCCTGTGTAGGGCTGGCTAACTTTTTCTTCTTTCTCTGATTAGCAACATCTCCTGGGGGAGAGTGGAGAGTTACATACCTATAGACGGAGATTTGAAGGGGTATTTATCAGGAAGATCCACTCTGACTTTCCACACTCCACCTTCATACGGTGCTGAAATAAAAGCAATTATGTAATGCATTAGGGCTGTGTCTTCCAATTAGAAAATAAACCCGAGTATAGGCCAACCCTTAAACATTCATCTTTTCTGATAACGTTGCAAATGAAGTCCTTCAAGAGCCAGGGACATATGACAACCGTGAAAAAAAAATCAAAATCGAACCCCCCCTCACCCCAGGAGTCAATTCTGACTCCTAGCAACCCCATCCCGGCACCCTCTGAGTCCACCCCTGAGCAAGGCTCCCAAGACTGGAGAAAGCTGCAGCTTTCCCATGAAGATCTGCTGCCGCCCAAGGCCTAACCCAGTTTCACTACAGCTGACCCTGTAGATACCTAAAGGTACCTTAAATTCAGATTTAGCTATTTTTCTTTAAAAGATCCAGAGTTAAGAATATAAGTAAAGATGCATTCTCTTCTCCAAATTTACTGGATTCTTTTATGTATCATTCACATTTCAGTGATTTGTTAAGAATAACCACATTCTTTTCCTGCCCCTCCTTGCTAACCCCATATCTGCGCCCCCCTCACAAAAAAAACCCAACTATAATCCCCTCCCCTGCCACAAAAAATACTTTCCAAAATCATTCAAATAAAACCTAGAACTCAGTTTTAATGCTGTCATGTCAGGATAAAAGACAGACATATGAAGTTATTACGACTCCAGCAAAATGTCCCCCTGGCCCTAAAGTCAGATTCTTTTACTTTACAAAACTACACAGGCCACCCACTCCCCGCCTGTCTGCGTAGTCTCACAGTCAACTAAGGAGGCAAAAGAACACAAGTCAGTATTGGTACTTACTTCCTTGTGGTCCATAAAACTTCACTACAAATTCATTCAGTCCTCCCAGGATGGTGACCTCGTGCTTACTCTCAATGCTAAGGTGGAAGGTTAAGGAAATTACACCAACCATGTGTTACCAGGAAGTTACGACACTCACGAGGTCCGTCCCCTGGTATGTTATTCAAGGTGCTACCAAAACTGATAAGAAACGGCAAAATATAACGCTACAAAATAGTTTGGGTAATTTAGTGGCAAAGCCGAAGGATGTGCTGCGCTGGGCAAAACGGCTGCTTGAGACCGCTTTACAGTGCTTTCAGAAAGCACAGACGTCTTCAACAGGGTCACCGGCTCTGCTGGACACTGAAGCAGCAACACGGGTGCTCCTGAATGATGGTGGTGGTGGCGGTGAAGACTCCTGACGGTGTTTAACATGGGCTTCCACAAGAACCAACACATTTGTCTTGGAAGAAGCAAAACCAAAGTGAGGGGGCGGGGCTGCTTCACCATACACATGCTGGACGTGTTAGCAGGAGACCAGGTCCCAGAAAAGAGCATTATGTGTGGTCAAGTAGAGGGTCAGTGAAGAAACAAGGGGGCAGAAAGTCTGACCCTTGATGAGGTGGATCGGCACAGCGCAACCATGGCTCAAATACCAGAGGCACTGAGAACAAGCACGGAATCCATTCTCAGTCGGAGATGGGGCTGCAGGCCTAACATCGGTGGTCTAACTCAGAAGTGCCTCTCCTGAAAGGCAGTTTAAGCGAGCGTGTCCTTTGCGGAGCGTTCAAATCCTACTGCACCAACCAACCAACCAACCCACCCACCCACCAACCCTGACAGGACCGCTTTCTCATTCAACTGGTGCAAAGCACGTCTGAGAGACACTGTTATACAAAACGAAAGAAGTCAAAGAAAAAGTTTAAGGATCTCTAAAAGAGAAAAAGAAAGTTATCTTTAAAAGCTTGAGGTTAAATATTTTTATTTGGCTCTCAACTCTCTGCCTTGGAGGCCACAGAAGCCTGCAAGGGGCCAGGTGTATTTTTGGCAAAGTCTATGGTTCACGTGCCTTGAATAGTATCCACATGAGATTATGTAAGTAAGTTAATTTAGTTTAGGATAACTCAATTTCGTTCTTTTCTAAGTGAGAACGCGTTTTAAGACCAAGCAAATGAAAAGGACCCAAACAGTTTCCAAATGGGATCTCTGGCTCCACGTCTCACTTGGCTGGAGAACACAGGCAGCACTTGCTCGTTCGCTAAATTCTGCCCAGCGACCAACAACCTGGCACCCCGCAAAATCTCCCCACGGTCCTGCTCCTGCAGTGCGCGGTATTGCATGTTTCAGTGGCTCTCTGAAATCGAAAGAGAAGCACCCTTTAGTTTAGTGAGAGAAACAAGTCAAATCCAGTTAAAATAAAGCAAAATAAATTTTAAAAAAGTCAGTCGTATAGAAAATAAGACTTAAAAATGAAAGAGCCCTAGTGGACAAAAACAGGCTTTCCCAGGACACGTTGGAGGGCATAAAAGAAATGATATGAGCCCTCACACTCGCGCACACACGCTCACACCCTATATGCACACCTCCCCACGACCTTCAATTCTGACTCACATGGACTTTACAGAGGCTTCCCAGGGCTTTGTACATTACAGGACTAGATCTCTCTCTTGCACGCACACATATGTGAAAGACATTTGTGTTGTATAAGACATAGGAGAAAGGTGGAAGGTGGAAAGATCTTTCTATAAGGAATTATTATAAAGCAGTAACAGAAAAATGGATACCAAACAAAGGCCATCTGTAGAAAACTAAGATAAAATGAGCAAAATTACATCTTAAAGACATTCAAAATGAACTGAAAAGCTACATTTTCCACTTTTGGTTGAGAAGGGGGGTGGGTGTAGATTTGTTCATCTGAGCAGAAGTCTCGAAGCACTGTGCGGTCCTGAGTCAGTGTCGGGGAGTCACTGTCAACGAGGACACTGTGTGATCTGGACACTGTGCTAACACCATTTCCTAGTCTGGTGCTGCCTGTCTTTAAGATTCTTGAAAGAGCTTCATGACTCAGCAGTGACTGTAGGTGTGCTCAGAGTTTGCTTTTGTGTCCAGCCCTCAATCCATCCTTACCCCACTTCTCCATCTTGGACTTGGACTTCTGTTGCACTTCCGCCTGGTGGCTTTCAGTGGACAGCCACCAGCTGCCTGCCTGCCTGCCTCCCAGGAGAGAGGGGCAAACGGTTACAGTTCTCAGGAGCCCAGTGGAGCAGTCGTCCTGTCCTCCAGGCTTGCTATGCCTCAATGGCGGTGGGCATCGGGACAGGAACCCTGGTGGTGCATTGGGTCAAGCACTGAAAAATCAGCGGTTCAAACCCACCAGCTACTCCGCTAGTTATACCCACATGCACGTATCCAGTCACTTAACCAGCTCTCTGTTAACAGATATTTATGCTAGCTACCATTTTTTTCATTTGTCTTTTAGTAAACTTTTAAAGAATAACAACACACAAAAGTACATAAATCATATTAACGGCACTATGACAAAGGGAACATACGTAATCTCCATTACTCGCGGCCATCAAGTCGATTTTGACTTAGGCTGGATGACCTCACAGGTCGGAGGACTGCCCTATAGGGTTCCCAAGGCTGCAATCTTTCCAGGAGCTGACTGCCCCACCCTTTTCTTCTTGGAGCAGCTGCGGGCTCAAACTCCGCCTCACTGGTTAGCAGTGAAGTGCTTTTACCACTGCTCCACCAAGGTTCCTTGGCAACGACTCCTAATTCGTCTCACCCACTTTGGACATGTAATCGAGAGACCAGTCCCTGGAGAAGGACGTCATGCCTAGTTACACAGGTCCATGAAAAAGAGGTCCATCCTCCACGAGATGGACGGGCAGCACTGGCTGCAACGATGGAATCAAACAGAACAAGTGTGAGGATGGTGCAGACCAGACAGGGATTCGTTCTACTGTGCGTCGGGTCACTCCGAGTGGACCTGATGTGGACAGTACCTTGATGAGCTATTAACACGGGTGTTGTTTCTGGAAAGACAGAGGGTTTTTTCCCCTATCCTTTCACACAGGGATGCAACACACAAACTTGGGCTTCTTCGGGTTGTGACTTCACCCGCAGCTGCATTTCCTTTTCAAAGATGAGTCTCTTCCACATTAAAATGAGGTTAGAAATCAACGTTCTACAACACCTTTCCCTCGTCTTTGAGCACAACTCCTACCAGAAACTAGCGAGTGCACACTGACCACTTCTTAGAAAATGCTCAAAAGCACACTGAATCAAAGTCCTACCAGGAAGAGCAAATGAGATGCTGTGCTAAACCCGCTGCCTTGGAATGGCACAGACACATCAGATGGGGACGTAATCAGGTTTAGTCCAGAGTAAAACACTGCATTGAAAACAAGCTATTCTGAACAAAAAAATCTTATCATTATGTGCTCACCTCCATGATACGATCACTGAAGACAAATGGGTGCATAAGCAAATGTGGCAAAGAAAGCTGATGGTGCCTGGCTATCAAAAGATGTAGCGTCTGGGGTCTTAAAGGCTTGAAGGTAAACAAGCAGCCATCTAGCTCAGAAGCAACAAAGCCCACGTAAAAGAAGCACACTAGCTGGTGCGATAACAAGGTGACACAGGGATCAGGCATCATCAGAACAAAAAATCTTATCATTGTGAATGAGGCAGGGAGTGCGGAGTGGAGACCCAAAGCCCATGAGTAGGCCACTGGACATCCCCTTACAGAAGGGTCTCAGGGAGGAGACAAGCCAGTCAGAGTATGATATAGCAATGATGAAACACAACTTTCCTCTAGTTCTTAAATGCTTCGCCCCCATGATCCCAATTCTACCTTACAAGTCTGGCTAGACCAGAGGATGTACACTGGTACAGGTAGGAACTGGAAACACAGGGAATCCAGGGCGGATGATCCTTTCAGGACCAGTGGTGTGAGTGGCGATACTGGGAGGGTAGAGGGAGGGTGGGCTGGAAAGGGGGAACCGATTACAAGGATCTATATGTGACCTCCTCCCTGGGGGACGGACAACAGAGAAGTGAGTGAAGGGAGACGTTGGACAGGGCAAGATATGACAAAATAATAATTTATAATTATCAAGGGTTCATGAGGGAGTGGGGAGCAGAGTGGGATGGGGAAAAAATGAGGAGCTGAGATGCCAGGGGCTTAGGTGGAAAGCAAATGTTTTGAGAATGATGAGGGCAATGAATGTACAAATGTGCTTTACACAATTGATGTATGTATGGATTGTGGTAAGAGTTGTATGAGCCCCTAATAAAACAATTAAAAAAAAAAAAAGAAAACAAGCTATTCCATTACCACCACCACCACCACCACTGAATAAATGAATTGCCTCAAAAATAACGTAGCAGCAGTAGGCGGTCTTATGGGCAAGGCCACAAGTCTCTCGCTCCTCTTAGTTTCAAAGTCAAGGGCAAGGAAGGCAATGAGGAGGCGTGGGGAAAATGACAAAAATCATGACCTGACTGAGGTTGCGGCTCAGACCACGAGGCTAGCAGAGTGCTGGCGGTGCGCTAAAGGGTTCTTTCATTACCTGTGCGGGTCAGAGCTTGACAACAGGAGACATCCTTCAGACACTGTTCTGGTAAAAATCTGTTATTGTGGGCTTACAAGCCACACCAACAGTGACTGGAGTCATGCACAGAACACTACCTTCTTACCTCCTCAGCACCTCACTGAGGCACAGCCGGCTGCATTTTCCGCAGAAAGGTGAAGAACGTTCCCAGAAACCAAAGTCCCAGGCCTTGGCCACATCAGCCGCCCACCACCTATTTTCAAGAGATGACTGACTTTCTTGGCAAAATGTGTCTATCAGGATTTTGTATGTGAATTTTAAATTGCTCTGAATTTTCCATATAACAAACTGCTGTTGGAGTTGATTCTAACCCACAGGCAGAGTAGGGCAGGCAGAGTTGTTCCCACAGGGCCGCCAAGAAACTCCAGTCTTGATGGGAGCAGATTGCCACATCCTTTCTCCCACGCAGCAGCTGGAGGGGGACTCGGATATCCGACCTTCAGGCTGACAGCGAAGCACAAACCCACTGCGCCACTGGG